AAAAAAACGTCGAAAGAAATTCATTACATTACATTTTTAATCGGAAATAGAATATCTAATAGACATAGTTTCTTTCGCGGAAAGTGTTCAGTTGTCAGAGAAGAATTTGTTCATTCATTTCATGCTGCTCATACAGACGTGAAAAAGACATAGCGATAAAGTTCTCAGATTTATTTCAATAATCGATTGATAGATAGGTAGAAGTTATTATTTTTATTCGATTTTATCTTAATGTTAACCTATTTTTCTATATATACGTAGAAATCATAATTATAGCCTAATATGAAAACTATGAGCGTTATCTTGGTGCACTTGTTCATATACATTCATTCTATTCCTTCTAAACTGTATCCGTGTGCGTGCAAAAGAAACATTTTCTTCGTAATCCGAACTACACATAGTAAGAACGTGAGCGTTATAAATATTTTTTCTATCTCTCACTTCTTATTGATCTACATAACTTTGTATAGGATGCAGTATTTTATAATAGACGAGAACAGTTTGTTGAAGTATTGATCGTTTTGTTCACTGCTATTTAAGTTCAGCTAAAACCCGTTCATAGGAGTGTTCACTATGGAAAGGATGGGTTCCCAGATCGAACAAACATGGTCGTCAACGATTGTGTGAAGAGAAATACGATCGTATACGGTCGATTACGCACCTTGAGAGTGTGGGTGAAAGTGAGTGATGATAGCATATTAGTCCGCCATACACACTCAGATCGAGACCCACACACATTCACAGCCACCCTGAAGATGGTTAGTATTGAGAAATCGTGTATTAAAAGTTTTCTTCTGTTTTTCTAGTCTGAAGATTAAAAGTTGCAGGATCTAACATCAATAAACTTTGCCTGAAAGTTCTCCAAACTAACGTATATACGTATAAAAAGAAGAAGAAACAGAATATATACGCACTGCATCAACACAAACAGTTTATCTTATTTGTCGTGTGATCTTGTGTTTCACTACACAAAGAAGAGGAAGAAGACACAACAGCTGCAAACTAACAAAATGGAATCAATTTTGTGTCTTACTCTCTTTATTTTATGTACACTATGTAGTGTGATTAATGGATCACATTTCCGTGGTGGTATTATTTCATGGTAAGTATACTCAATTAACATTTGTTTCTTCATTCAATCTTGCATATTTTTTATTTTCTACATTCATTTTCTTAGGCGTCCGTTAAACAATACAGTAACGGGCAACACTACACAAATCCTCATACATCAAAAGTACTTTTGGGCTCGGAATTATTCCTCTTTCCCTAATCTTTGCACGGAAGCGAATGTCACTGCTCAAGCACTTATTCCAATCATTTCTTATATGATCTGTCTGGCAAATTGCTCAAGTTCTAACTATCCTTCAGTTGGACTTTCAACCATTATGACATCTACAGATTGTGATGCAAACCCGATCATTCAAACATGGACTGGCGAACGTTACGATACTTTGACAATGCCTTTGACAACATCAATTACTATTGGCTTTAATTCTAGTTCATGGATGATAGGTCTCTATATTGGCAGTTCAGGTATCTATTCAATTGCCAATCGTCTGAACTTGGCCTTACGACCCGATGGATTAATTAATTCCAGTCCTATTACAAACACATTACCAGTAGTACTTTACCAAAGAAATGTATCAGTAGTTCATGTTGTACAAATGGCAGATAATGATGCTACTGATTATTTGGTATGTCGTTGGTCCAATTCGGCTTCTACAACCAATTACAATCGAGTTAATGAATGTGGAAGTATTTGTAATGGACTGCCGGCTTTCACTGTATTGATCGGATTCAACTGCACGTTATCTTTCACTTTACCAACTGCTAATGTCTATTATGCCTGTGCATTGCAAATCGAAGATTATTTTAGTAGTACCTCCACGACTCCAATGAGTTCAGTCCCGATACAATTCTTATTCTATGCATACAATCCTTCCGCTGGTGCATGTGCACAACGTCCCTCAATTATCGGTGCCCGTCCAAACAGAGGTATGAATATATCTTCTAATCTAAACTAAATTCAAACATTTATTTAATTTTTTTTAGCTTGCATTGGAGTTCCATATGGTAAGTGCAGTGAATGCCTTTTCTTTTATAATATTTACAATCTATGTTTTAGGGGCTCAGCTCAATGAAACTATAATTGCACAAACATACTGCCCTAGTCAAACAATTGTTGATTTTATCACTAGTTCATCTATTGGAATGATACATAGTAATATTAGTAATCCAAGTTCTGGTAAGCAGTTGACAGTAGTTTGTTAGAATATGCAAGTTTTTTTATTTGAAATATACTATCTCAGGTATATGGATAATGACAGTGACATGGACACCATTACTATCACAATTCGGTCCTCAAAGTATTTGTGCCGGGGCAATTGATAATAGCAGTTTACAATCAGCTCCGTGGTGTATTACATACTTAGTTGGCTATGAATCGCCTTACCTCATTAAATATTCAGCTTCACCAGTCGGCATTATCTCCCAAAATCAAACTATTTTTTCAATTCAAAGTAATTTTTATTATTGTAATGGAAAAATACGAGTGTCAACTATATGATATTGAGGATTTATGTTGTATATATTCTTTTTTTCAGTGATTATGAGTGACAATACTTTCAAAACATGAGAAGTCCGTCTATATGTAAAAAAAAACTCTAACTTTGTCAATTTCATGAGTTATATATATATAACTGATAGCTTAATGATGTCTATATATGATCTGTTTATAATGAGACCTTCTTTGTCGAATGTTTGAAACATTATTTGTTAAAGATTTAATTATATTTATATATTTTAGCCACAAGTGCAGTTAAGCGTCCGTCACGTACTGGTACTAATATTTATTTCACTGATT